GGAGCCAGGATTTGACCCCACCCAGGTGAGGTCACACATGGCCACACCCCCAGTGCCACGCCCAGCCACACCCACCCACCACCACGGCCACACCCCCAGTATATGGGTGTGGTCTGACATGGCCACGCCCCCTCTGGCCACACCCAACCAATGGCCGTGGCGCTTTGAGGGCGTGGCCAGCACCCGGCCACACCCATTAGCGACAGCCACACCCCCAAACCGCCACACCCAGCCCCGGGGGCGTGGTCACACCAGGCCACGCCCCGCACAAGCCACGCCCACCTGCGGGCGGGTCCTTCTCGCGCGCCACCCACAGGAAGTCGCCGACCGGGAGGCGCCGCAGCAGCACCGGGACCCCCCGGGAGCGGAGCAGCGCCGGGACCCCCCCGGAGGGGCTGCGGGAGACGGGGACAGCGAGGGGACACGTCATGGGACAGAGGGACAGGTCATGGGGACAGAGGGACGGGTCATGGGGACAGAGGGACAGGTCATGGGGACAGGTCATGGGGACAGAGGGACAGGTCGAGGGGACAGAGGGACACGTCATGGGGACATCGAGGGGACAGAGGGACAGGTCATGGGGACAGAGGGACACGTCATGGGGACAGCGAGGGGACAGGGAAGGGACAGGTCATGGGGACACAGGGACAGGTCATGGGGACAGCAAGGGGACAGAGGGACAGTGAGGGGACACTGGGGACACGGGGGACAGTGAGGGGACATTGGGGACAGTGAGGACATGGGGTCATTGGGGACAGTGAAGGGACACAGAGGGGACATTGGCAGGACAGCGGGGACATTGGGGACGGTGAGGGGACAGTAGGGACGTGTCATGAGGGACATTGAGGGACATCGGGGACAGCGAGGGGACATTGGGGACAGTGAGGGGACAGTGAGGGGACGTTGGGGACACGGGGGACAGTGAGGACATGGGGTCATTGGGGATATTGGGGACATTGGGGACAGTGAGGGGACATTGGCAGGACAGCGACACGGGGGGTGACAGGGACAGGCACCCGTTGGCCTCGGTGACGTCGGCGCACAGCACGATGTCGAACTCGCCGGGTCTCAGCTCAAACTCCTGCCGGGGGTCGCACCTGGGGGTCCCCAAATTCAGCTCCAGGTGACCCCGAGGGCTGTGACCCCTCCCCCCCAGGTGTTTGTGACCCCCCCAGGTGCCTCAAAGTGTCCCCAAAGTGTCCCCAAACCCCCCCAAACTCACGCGGGGGGGGAGGGGGCGCAGTTCTCGTCCTGCCCCGCCAGGGGGCGCTGCGGGCGCACCTGGCCGGGGGGCGTGGCCTCGGCGAGGCTCCCAGGGACACGGGGGGTGGCACAGGGGGTGACAGGGACACGGGGGGTGGCACAGGGGGTGACAGGGACACACACGGGGGGTGACAGGGACAGGCACCCGTTGGCCTCGGTGACGTCGGCGCACAGCACGATGTCGAACTCGCCGGGTCTCAGCTCAAACTCCTGCCGGGGGTCGCACCTGGGGGTCCCCAAATTCAGCTCCAGGTGACCCCGAGGGCTGTGACCCCCCCCCAGGTGTTTGTGACCCTCCCCAGGTGCCCCAAAGTGTCCCCAAAGTGTCCCCAAACCCCCCCAAACTCACGCGGGGGGGGAGGGGGCGCAGTTCTCGTCCTGCCCCGCCAGGGGGCGCTGCGGGCGCACCTGGCCGGGGGGCGTGGCCTCGGCGAGGCTCCGCCCCCTCGGGGTCACAGAGTACCTGGGGGGGGAAGGGTTAAAGGAGGGGGGGGTCCCGGCCCCGGGGGGGTCCCAGGGGGTCCCGTTCCTACCGGGGGGGGCGGCCGCTCCTCTGGGCGAGGCCCCGGCGCAGGAGGGGACCCAGAGCCGCCTGTGGGGGAGGGGAAAATCAGGGTCAGCCCCTCCCCCACCCCCTCCGGGGGGGGTGCCAGGGTGGGGGAGGGGCGCTGGGTCCCCCCTGTCACTCACCGGGGTCAGGGCGTGGTCACAGAGGGGCTGGGCCTGCTGCAGAAGCTCCGCCTCCGGGAGGGGCTCAGGGCTCTGGGGGCGGGGCTTTGGGTGAGGAGGGGGAGGGGCAGGGAGCTGGGCCCCTCCCCCACCCCCAGGTGTGTCCCCTCCCCCTCACCTGGCTCAGCACCTGCAGGAGGGCGTGGCTCCGGGAGCGGGGGAGGGGCCGGGGCTGCCGGGGGCGGCGCTGGATGGAGGGGGAGGGGCAGAGATTGGGGGCGTGGCCTCCTCTGCCCCTCCCCCCACAAGGGGGAACAGTGGGGCGGTCCTGGGTGGGGGAGGGGCGAGGAGGGGACTCACCGTGGGCGGGGCTGGGGGAGGGTCTTGGCACCGAGGGGGCGTGGCAGGGAGGCCCTGCTCTGCGGGATGCAAACGATATGCAAATCAGCATGCAAATCAGCTCCATCAGGCCACACCCACCACAGCCCTGCCCTATCTTAGCCCCACCCCCTTGAGGCACATCCCACCAAAGCCCCGCCCACCAGAGCACCACCCCCCGAGGCCACGCCCCCTCCCTCATGCCCCACCCCTTGCAGTAATGGGTGGGAAGGGGCGGGGCTCACTCAAGCCACACCCCAGCCCACCCCTCAGAGCCCCACCCACCCCAGCCCCGCCCCTTCAGGCCCCGCCCCTTCAGGCTCCGCCCCTTCAGGCCCCGCCCACCCCGGCGGTGCTGGCTCAGCCGTTGGTCCAGGCGGGCGCAGAGGGCGGGGCCAAAGTGCTGCAAGATGGCGGCGGCGCGGCCGGAACGGAGCGGGAGTGGGAACCGGGAGAGAGAGCGCAGGGCCTGGGGGGAACACACCTGGGATACACCTGGGGAGCCCAAAATACACCTGGGATACACCTGGGACACACCTGAGACACCCAAAATACACCTGGGATACACCTGGGTGTGCCTGGGACACCCAAAACACACCTGGAACACACCTGAGATACACCTGGGGAACCTAAAACACACCTGGGATACACCTGGGACACACCTGGGATACACCTGAGACACACCTGGGTGTGCCTGGGATACCCAAAACACAGCTGGGATACACCTGAGACACCCAAAATACACCTGGGATACACCTGGGGAACCTAAACCACACCTGGGATACACCTGGGGAACCTGAAACACACCTGTGTCTACCTGAAACACACCTGGGATACACCTGAAATACACCTGGGTGTACCTGAAACGCAGCTGGGACACACCTGGAGTACCTGAAATACACCTGACACACACCTGAGGAACCCAACCACACCTGGGGGGGGTCAAAATCACCAACCCAGGGACCCCAGACCCACCCAGAGACTCCAAAACTCACCTGGAGACCCCTAAAGCCCCACCCAGAAACCTCCAAATCACACCTGGGCACCCCAAGTCACACCTGGGGACCCCAAAACACACCTGGGGACCCCAAAATCCTCCCAGGGACCCCAAAATCGCCCACCTGAGAACCCCAAAACACACCTGGGCACCCCAAGTCACACCTGGGGACCCCAAAACACACCTGGGGACCCCAAAATCCTCCCAGGGACCCCAAAATCGCCCACCTGAGAACCCCAAAACACACCTGGGCACCCCAAGTCACACCTGGGCACTCCCAAATCCACCTGGGCACCCCAAAAATCACACAAGAGGACCCCAAAATCACCCACCCAGGGACCCTAAATCACACCTGGGCACCCCAAACCCACCCGGGGACCCCCAAATCACACCCGGGCACCCCAAAATCACACCTGAGCACCCCAAAATCACACCTGAGCACCCCAAAATCCACCCGGGGACCCCCAAATCACACCCGGGCACCCCAAAATCACACCTGAGCACCCCAAAATCACACCTGAGCACCCCAAAATCCACCCGGGGACCCCCCCCAAAATCACACCTGGGCCCCCCAAAATCACACCTGAGCACCCCAAAATCCACCCAGAGACCCCCCCCCACACCCACCCTGTCGTAGGCGCCCCTCGCCCAGGTGCCCTGCGCCTCGTCCCGCCACTCGCGCAGCCAGCGGGCGAACAGCGGGTTGGGGTGGCCGCGGGGGCGGCGGCGGCGCCGGGAGGAGGCGGCGGCGGCCGCGGCCATGATCGAATCCTCCCGCCGCCGCCGCCGCCGCCCGGAAGTGCCGCCCCGCGGGGCCGCTCTGGCCGCGTTCTCTGATCCGGGAAATGCGACTTGTCTGCTCTGGAGGACTCCGCTCTGGCAGCTCGGAGGTTGAACTTGTCTGCTCAACGGGGGGGGGGACTCCGCTCTGGGTTTCTCGGAGGTCAAACTCGTCTGCTCTGGAGGACTCGGCCGCTATGGGAGACCCCAAATCCTCCCCCAAACCCCAAATTCTGTCCCTGAAACCCCCAAATCCTCCCCCCAAACCCCAAAATTCTTCACCAGGCCCCCCAAATCCTTCCCCAGGCCTCCCAAACCCCAAATATTTCCCCTCAACCCCCCAAATTAGATGTTTGTTTCTGAGGGTCTGGCTGTGTCCCTGTCCTGCCCAGGCTGCTCAGGGAGCAGGAGCTGCTGACAGGCCCCAAATGCACCCCAGCCTCGTGCAGAGGAGCCCTGTGGGGACAGGGACAGTGATCACATCACCCAGGGGTGCACCCAGGACGGGGGGGGGGGGGGGGGCCCCCCCAAAAAAACCCAGCCCCCCCCCCCCCTGCGGGGGAAGGGGTGGGGGGCACCCCAAAGTAACACTCATGGCGTGGGGGGGGGAGGGGGGCACCCCAAATGAACACAACCCCCACCCCCAGCGAGGGCGGCGCCCCAAAATCCCACCCTGCGGTGGGGGAGGGGCAGGTGGGGACCCCCCCTCAAGCTGGTTTTGGGGGGATGGGGGAGGGGTGGCACCACGGGACCCCCCCCCCGGGATGAGTTTTGGGGGGTGGCAGCACCGGTTTGGGGGTCCCATAGGTGGGGGGTGGAGTGGGGAGGGGTTTGGGGTCCCCAGAGCTGGATTTGGGGTCTCAGGACGAGTCTGGGGGTCCCCAGGGCTGGTTTTGGTGTCCGTGGATGAGTTTGGGGGTCCCCAGGATGGTTCTGGGGTCCCCAGAGCTGGATTTGGAGTCCCCAGGATGGTTTTGGGGTCCCCAGAGCTGGATTTGGGGTCCCAGGACAAGTTCGGGGGTCCCCAGAGCTGGTTTTGGAGTCCCTGGGTGAATTTGGGTGTCCCCAGAGCTGGATTTGGGATCCATGGATGAGTTTTTGGGTCCCCAGGATGGTTTTGGGGTCCCCAGGATGGTTTTGGAGTCCCAGGGTGACTTTGGGAGTCCCTGGGTGAATTTGGGGGTCCCCAGAGCTGGATTTGGAGTCCCTGGGGTGAATTTTTGGGGTCCCCAGGATGGTTTTGGGTTGGGGGTCCCATAGGTGGGGGGTGGAGTGGGGAGGGGTTTGGGGTCCCCAGAGCTGGATTTGGGGTCCCAGGACGAGTCTGGGGGTCCCCAGGGCTGGTTTAGGTGTCCGTGGATGAGTTTGGGGGTCCCCAGGATGGTTTTGGGGTCCCCAGAGCTGGATTTGGGGTCCCCAGGATGGTTTTGGGGTCCTTGGGGTGAATTTTTGGGGTCCCCAGAGCTGGATTTGGGGTCTCAGGACAAGTTTGGGGGTCCCCAGAGCTGGTTTTGGAGTCCCTGGGTGAATTTGGGTGTCCCCAGAGCTGGATTTGGGATCCATGGATGAGTTTTGGGGTCCCCAGGATGGTTTTGGGGTCCCCAGGATGGTTTTGGAGTCCCAGGGTGACTTTGGGAGTCCCTGGGTGAATTTGGGGGTCCCCAGAGCTGGATTTGGAGTCCCTGGGGTGAATTTTTGGGGTCCCCAGGATGGTTTTGGGTTCCCCAGAGCTGGATTTGGGGTCCCTGGGTGAGTCTGGGGCTCCCCAGAGTTGGTTTTGGGATCCCCAGGATGGTTTTGGGGTCCCCAAAGGTGGTTTTGGAGTCCCACAGTGACTTTGGGGGTCCCCAGAGCTGGATTTGGGGTCTCTGGGTGAGTCTGGGGCTCCCCAGAGCTGGTTTTGGGATCCCCAGGATGGTTTTGGGGTCCCTGAAGAACTCGGGGGGGGTCCCCAGGGTGGTTTTGGGGTCCCCAGGATGGTTTTGGGGTCTCTGGGTGACTTTTGGGGTCCCCAGAGCTGGATTTGGGGTCTCTGGGTGAGTCTGGGGCTCCCCAGAGCTGGTTTTGGGATCCCCAGGATGGTTTTGGGGTCCCTGAAGAACTCGGGGGGGGCCCTGGGGTGGTTTTGGGGTCTCTGGGTGAGTTTTGGGGTCCCCAGAGCTGGTTTGGGGGTCCCTGGGGTGGTTTTGGGGTCTCTGGGTGAGTTTTGGGGTCCCCAGAGCTGGTTTTGGGGCTCTGAGTGAATTTTGGGGTCCCCAGAGCTGGTTTGGGGGTCCCTGGGGTGGTTTTGGGGTCCCCAGGATGGTTTTGGGGTCCCTGAAGAACTCGGGGGGGTCCCTGGAGTGGTTTTGGGGTCTCTGGGTGAGTTTTGGGTGACCCCAAAGGGCTCCGGTCCCACCCCAGCCACGTGACTCTAAGTGATCCCAGAATTGCCCCAGCACCAGGAGCTGCCCCAGCACCACGTGTGCCTGACGGGGGACAGGGAGGGGACAGGGAGGGGACAGCGGTGTCACCAGGGCGTGGGGACACTGCCCAGGGTCCCCCTGTCCCTCCTGAGTGACCCCAAAGGGCTCCGGTCCCGCCCCAGCCCTGCAGCCCCAAGAGATTCCAGAGCTGCCCCAGCACCAGAGGACACCTTGGGGTGACAGGGAGGGGACAGGGAGGGGACAGTGGTGTCCCCGGTGTCCCCAGTATCCCCAGTGTCCCATCCCACCTTGTCGAAGCCCTTCTCCTCCAGTTTCCTACCCAGCACGTCCCCAATCAAGGGCTGCCTGGAACTCGCCGGGGTTTTGGGAAGATTTTGGGGCGCAGGGAGCGGATTTTGGGGCGCAGGGCTGGGGTTTGGGGCGCGGAGCCGGGCCGAGGGGCTCGGGGGGGCCGATTTTGGGGAGGGGGCTCAGAGGAAGGCGTCGCACCACTCGCGCAGGCAGCCCGAGCAGTCGCGGCTCTGTTTGGCGTTGGCCCCGCACGTCTCCTTGAGCCACTCCCGGAACAGCTCCTCGTCCTTGCGCAGCACCAGGAACTGCCCCAGCACCACGTACGCCTGACGGGGGACAGGGAGGGGACAGGGAGGGGACAGCGGTGTCACCAGGGCGTGGGGACACTGCCATGTCCCTCCTGAGTGACCCCAAAGGGCTCTGGTCCCGCCCCAGCCCTGTGGTCCCAAGAGATTCCAGAGCTGCCCCAGCACCAGGAATGGCTGGAGGGGACAGCCCGGGGACAGCCAAGGGACAGGGAGGGGACAGCGGTGTCACCAGAGCGTGGGGACACTGTTAAGGGACCCCCTGTCCCTCCTGAGTGACCCCAAGGAGCTCCGGTCCCGCCCCAACCCTGTGGTCCCTGGTTCTTTCAGAATTGCCCCAGCACCACGTGTGCCTGACAGGGGACAGCGAGGGGACAGAGGTGTCACCAGGGCGTGGGGACACTGCCATGACCCTCCTGAGTGACCCCAAAGAGCTCTGGTCCTGCCCCAGCCCTGCAGTCCCAAGAGATTCCAGAGCTGCCCCAGCACCAGAGAACACCTGGGGGTGACAGGGAGGGGACAGTGGTGTCCCCAGTGTCCCCAGTATCCCCAGGTGTCCCCAATGTCCCCAGGTGTCCCCAGCCCACCTTGTCGAAGCCCTTCTCCTCCAGTTTCCTGCCCAGCACGTCCCCAATGTCCCTGATGTCCCCAATGCCCCTGATGTCCCCAATGTCCCCGATGTCCCCAGTTTCCCCGCTGTTCCCAGGTGTCCCTGCTGTCCCCAGATGTCCCCAATGTCCCTGCTGTCCCCTCCCCACCTTGTCGAAGCCCTTCTCCTCCAGTTTCCTGCCCAGCACGTCCCTGATGTCCCCAATGTCCCCAGGTGTCTCAGATGTCCCCAGGTGTCCCTGCTGTCCCCTCCCCACCTTGTCGAAGCCCTTCTCCTCCAGTTTCCTGCCCAGCACGTCCCCGATCCCGGCCAAGGTCCCCACCGGCTTCTCCCCCATCGGCTCCGCCACGAAGTCCCGGTGCTTCTGTGACGTCGAGGACATGGCGCCTGGGGACAGGGGGGGACACTGAGGGACAGCCAGGGGGACATAGGGACAGCCAGGGGACACAGGGACAGCCAGGGGACAGCCAGGGGACACAGGGACAGTGAGGGGACACTGAGGGGACAGCCTCTGAGGGGACAGCCAAGTGAGGGACAGCCAGGGGACAGCCAGGGGACACTGAGGGGACAGCCAGGGGGGACACGGTGCTTCTGTGACGTCGAGGACATGGCGCCTGGGGACAGGGGACACTCAGGGGACAGCCAGGGGACAGGGGACACTGAGGGGACAGCCTGGGGACAGGGGGGACACTGAGGGGACAGCCAGGGGACACAGGGACAGCCAGGGGACAGCCAGGGGACACAGGGACAGTGAGGGGACACTGAGGGGACAGTTCAGGGGACACAGGGACAGCCAGGGGACACTGAGGGGACAGGGGGACAGTGAGGGGACAGTTCAGGGGACAGCCAGGGGACAGGGGGACAGCTCAGGGGACACACAGGGGACACTGAGGGGACACACGGACAGCTCAGGGGGCTCGGTGCCTGGGGACACACAGGGGACACTGAGGGGACAGCCAGGGGACACTCAGAGAGACACGGTGCTTCTGTGACGTCAAGGACATGGCGCCTGGGGACAGGGGGGACACGGAGGGGACAGCCAGGGGGACACAGGACTGGACAGGGTGAGTGCCACCAGCACAGTGAGGGGACACTGGGACAGAGTGAGAACAGGGACAGAGACAGGGACAGGGACAGAGGGGGGGGCAAGGGGGAGGATGGGAACCCTGAGGGGACACTGAGGGGACAGCCAGGGGGACACAGGACTGGACAGGGTGAGTGCCACCAGCACAGTGAGGGGACACTGGGACAGGGTGAGGGGACATGGGGACAGGGAGAGGAGGGGACAGGGACAGGGACAGGGACAGAGGGGGGGGCAAGGGGGAGGATGGGAACCCTGAGGGGACACTGAGGTGGCACTGAGGGGACACTGAGGGGACACCGAAGGGACCCTGAGGGGATTTGGAGGGGACATTGTAGGGACTCTGAGGGGACATTGTGGGGACCCTGTAAGGACTGTGAGGGGACATTAGGTGAACACTGAGGTGGCACTGAGGGGATTCGGAGGGGACATTGTGGGGACATTGTGGGAACACTGAGGGGACCCTGAGAGGACACTGTGGGGGCCCTGAGGGGACCCTGAGGGGACACTGAGGGGACCCTGAGGTGGCACTGAGGGGACCCTGAGGGGATTCGGAGGGGACATTGAGGGGACCCTGAGGGGACCCTGAGGGGACATTGAGGGGACATTGTGGGAACACTGTGGGGGCCCTGAGGGGACACCCCCGGCCCGCCCGCCCCTCACAGGCGGCCCCGCCCCGTCCCGCCCCTCGGGCCCTTCTCGCCC